CAGCAGATGAGGCGCACAGGTTGAGGATGACGTCAGACCCCTTGCAGAGGGAGCTCTTCGTCTCCTCAGGCAGATCTGTGTTCTCCAGCCTCTTAGAAACGCTGTATGCCAACAGCGCCACGTTGTTGTTTGCTGCGGCCGCCTGGAATGCACACTGGTGAGCTCGGTTGGAGAGTGATGTCACCGTCTGGTCATGTTTCCCGGGAGGGACAGGACGCTGGTCCAACCTGGACAACTTCGCTCCGAAAGCTTCCACCAAGCTCAGCTCCAGAGGGGGTACCGAGGGAAAATTCCGCTCGGTAAACCCCTCCACTCGGGTGATGGGAGCGAAAGTGGAGACGGGCGCTCTCAATTTACCAGGTCCGGCTGCAGCCTCGTTCCAGTAGGACGTCAATGCTGGGAAACGAGGCCAGAAGGGATCAGGACGGCGAGCCGGGGTGGAGCCAAACCTTCCCGCTAGATCATCCGATCTGGGCGGGGGGAGGAGAGGGACAGAAAGTCCCTTCGTGTCAGCAGCCTCCCGGATTATGCCGGGCAGCTCCGAAAGGAGGGCACCGACGGCAAGGAGCGGTGTGGTGGTTGAGGCGGAAAGGCCCGGGGGGGGCATCCGCTCAGCCCCTCTCGTTCCGACACTACGCTCTCCGGGAGGGAGTGAGCAGTGGGGCTGTTGCTGACGTCGTCTGTCCCGGAAGAACCATCCGATTCGCTCCGAGAGCCGGCGTTCAAAAAAGTCGATGGTATCATCCAGCGAACGGTCTCCCGCCGCGGAGAGGCATTCCTCGACGTTAGCCTTGAACAAGGCTGCTCTCCTCTGCCTTTCCTCTGGAGGGAGGAGGTCACAGAGGTGGCAAGAGGGGGCGCGGGCAGCGTGGCGGGGACCCAGGCATCCTTCTCAGGTGTCGTGTCAGTCGAAGCTCAGCAAGTAGCCGGTCTTGCAGGACGGACACAGGCGAATGGTGTTGTTGCTGGACATCTCAATGTTGAAGGTCAGTGCTAGTCATTTGCTGAAGAAAAATGGGAGCCGATTACCTGCTATTAACGTAATTTATACGGACTGGGTGGGGCCCACACAACAGGTGGGCGTGGACTAAATTTTTTCAGTGTGATGCATTGCATGGTGGGATAAAATCCACCAGTGACAGCCTTAAAGGGCAAAGCCTATACGAAATAGAACAGGAAGTCACCATAACTCCTGTCTGGAAGGTCAGATTTCCACTATACTTGTAAGAGCTGCAGATGGACAAATAATGACATGGTGTTGCAACCTCCTGGAACATTTTGTCCCAATGTTTTCCACTCTATTCTGCTTAGAATGAGGTCGCTGAGTTTGTACAGTTCAACACTTAGGGGTTACTCTTTTGTCTGCTCGTAAAGTTGTAAAACAGTTGCACAGTCTAAACTGCTGATTATCTCTTTACCTTACAACTTAATCATAAATTCTTCAATCACACATACAGAATCACATATAATGCATTAAAAATATAAGAGTATTAATTTAAAAATTATTTAGGTATGACCTTTCACACATTTAAGCATATTCCATTCTGTTTACAACAACTAATACTCTGCTCTCTTCTCTGTGAGCTGCCAGCTCAGGCACACACACACACACAGGGAAAACAGAGAAAAACATCTGGATTTAATCAAGCCTGAAGCATACAAACACACACCTCCTTTCTGCATAGATAAGTCAAGGCTGCAACCCTCGTATATATATATATATATATATATATATATGTGTGTGTGTGTGTGTGTGTGTGTGTGTGCGTGTGTGTGTGTGTGTGTGTGTGTATATCAGTGTTTCCTCTACCATTATACAAGCAGGGAGTCCCGCCTTGTCAACAGAACCAAGCACCCCGCCTACCAAACCCCAAACCCCCACCACCTGTCAGCACTGATGTAACGCTAAACTTGCGGCTCGCAACACAGGTGAAAAGCTAAAGGCAGCCTCTTCCCTCATGCTGAACCCCATACCCCACACCCAAAAACTGTTGGTACAAACAGTGCATGACTCAGATGTGTCTCTGCCACACCCGCCCCATAAAAAAAACTGTCAATACAGACAGTGCGTGGCTGAGATGTGTCTCTGTCTCTCTCCTCTTCTCCACCCCTGCTCTAAAACTGTGAAATTGTCAGTGCAAACAGCGCATGGCCGCGTCTCTGTCCCACCCACTCCCCACTCACTATAAAACTGTCGGTATAAACAGCACGCTGCACAGCTCAGGAAGTGTCTCCATTTTTGTGGACTTCATGTCTGCCTTCAATATCATGATTCCCCAAACGCTGATGGACAAACTAATCACACTAGGACTAAGCCCCTCCATATGCAACTGGGTTCTGGGCTTCTTAACAAAAAGACCATAGTCTGTGAGGATCCACAACTTCTCCTCCTCCACCATAACCCTCAACACTGGCTCCCCCCATGGCTGTGTGCTGAGCCCCCTCCTGTTCACTCTGCTCATATATGACTGTGCACCTACCCATCTAGTTTGTCATATTGTAAAGTTTGCAGATGATCCAGCTGTGGCGGCTGTGGCTGAATGGTTAGAGCAGTCGTCCGCCAATGCAAGAGTTGGGGGTTCGAATCCACCAGCAGTCACATGCCGAAGTGTCCATGGGCAAGACATTGAACCCCTCATAGCCTCTGATGTGTGTCCCATCAGTGTATGAATGTGATAAAGCTCTGATTAGTCTCTTTAGAATGATTTGTTCAATTAGCTTTGTAGAGATCTAGTAGAGTGCTGTATGAATGGGTAAATGAGGCACAGATTGTTGTGTAAAGAGCTTTGAGTATCTTGAAATAAGATAGAAAGGCGCTATATAAGTACAGTCCATTTACAGCTGTGGTTGGATGTATCACAAGCAATGATGAATCCAGCTACAGGCAGGAGGTGGAATACCTGGAGAGCTGGTACAGGAAGAACAACCTTCACATTAATGTGAAGAAGATGAAGGAGATGGTCGTGGACTTCAGATGGAACAAACACACCTACCCCCACCCTGAATATAGGAGGATATGCGGTGAAAGTGATCTCTAGCTACAAGTACTTGGGTATGCATCTGAACGACAACCTCAGCTGGGGCAACAACACTACCAGCCTGATCAAGAAAGCTCATCAGAGACTCTACTTCCTCAAGCGGCTGAGGCTACTTGTCTGGGAAGGTCAGTCATGATCTCCTTCTACAGGTGTGCAGTGGAGAGCATCTGTGCTTCAGCATCAATGTGTGGCATGGAGGCTGCACAGCTGCAGAAAGAAAAGCTTAGCAGAGAGTGGTGAAGGCTGCACAGAAGTCTGTTGGAGTCAGTCTCCCCATCATCACCGACATTTACACCTCCAGATGCAGGAAGAGGGCCACCTGCATCATGAAGGACCCCACTCACCCAGCACACACACTTTTGCCCCACAACCCCTCTGGCAGGAGGTTGAGGAGCATTAAGTGTAGAATCACTAGACTGAGGAACAGCTTTTACCCTGAGGCTGTCAGACTCATGAATCCTTAATCATGATAATCACTGAAAAAAATCCCTGTAATGCCACTTGATTGTTCATTTGTGCTGGTGACTATCCATGTTGCTGATCTTATGCTGTTGATTTATTTCATGCTGCTGTATTCATTCATTCATGCTCATCTGCTCACAAAGACTCATGTTCGTGCTGCTGCTGTTCGATGTATTGTTTTTGTACTATTGGTGCTTAGTGTATTCTTAGTTTAGTGTATTTCTTAGTTCATTTCTAAGATCTTACTACTGTTTTTCATCCATCCATCCATCCATCCATTATCTTTACCCGTTTATTCCATTTTGGGTCACGGGGGTCGCTGGTGCCCATGTCCAGCAATCACTGTGCGAGGGGCGGGGTACACCCTGGACAGGTCACAAGTCCATCACAGGGACACAGAGACAAACGAGACAAACAACCATTCACTCTCTCACTCACACCTAGGGACAATTTAGAGTTACCAATCAGCCTAACATGCATGTTTTTGGTCTGTGGGAGGAAACCGGAGTACCCGGAGAAAACCCATGCATGCACGGAGAGAACATGCAAACTCCACCCAGAAGGCCCCTGGACCGGGGTTTGAACCAGGGACCTGTTCGCTGAGAGGCAGCAGCTCTACCAGTTGCGCCACCGTGCTGCCCACTACTGTTTTTCTTTACAATTTATACTTTTGTTGGATGTAACTGGGATCCTGTGTAAACAATTTCGTTCCACCACATGCACGACATGTGGAGCCAATGACAAATAATGAAAGTTTTACTTTGACTATGAAAAAGTGAGTGACCAGAATATAAAAGAAAATGCATCACAAAAAGCAGAGTTCAGACAGTTACATATTAAAGTTTAGACTTAATATAATGGTAAATGGACTGTACTTGTATAGCGCATTTTATCTAATCAAAATATTCAAAGCGCTTTACAACACAATCTGTGTTCTCATTTACACATTCACACACATACAGCACTCTACCAGATCTCTACAAAGCTAATATGAGTACATCGGGGGCGGCTGTGGCTGAGTGGTTAGAGCAGTCGTCCTCCAATGCGAGAGTTGGGGGTTCGATTCCACCAGCAGTCAGATGTTGAAGTGTCCCTGGACAAGACACTGAACCCCTCATAGCATCCGATGTGTGTCCCATCGGTGACATGAATGTGATCTAAAGCACTGTTTAGAGATCTAGTAGAGTGCTGTGTGGATGGATAAATGACGGCACAGGTAGTATTGTAAAGCACTTTTAGTATCTTGACTACCAGTAAATAGGAAGGTGCTATATAAGTACAGTCCATTTACCATTTACTATTCTATACAGAATAATCAATGCTCTAGATCACATTCATACATATACATTCATAATAATAATCCCATGTGTGATGATTTAACTTCAAATTGTTGCAAACAAACCAAAATATCACTGTAAAATGCCTGCAGAGTCTGAGGTAGGTTAAAACCCACTACATAAGACCAGACTATTTACAAAATTCGAAAGTGATACTACTTACGTGGCCTTTCCCTCCCGGAGAAAGATGCAGGAGAGGGAGAACTGCAGCGTAGCTGACACCACCTTCTTTGACAGGGGCTTAAACTTGAGTTTGACATCAGTCTGAGTGGGCATTGGACTGGCATATTGCTTCATGTTTATACTGCTGGTGGCTAAGGCTTTCCTCCGTCCTGACGGAGACTCCTACAGAAAGAGAAGATTCAGAACATTCTTAGGTGAATGTGGTCACTGTTCACTGGTAAAACCAAAAGTCTTCAATATTCTTCATTGCCAATTTCACTATAAAATACCTCCTGATATTTCAAATTAAAGGATTATACAGATGCCCTTTTCCTGTGCTTTTTATTAAATATTTGCTCTGAGGCAAGGAGATGGCAGCCACATTTGAACTGGGGAATATGCCACAGAGTAGGTAAGACTTGTGGAATCAGTGATACTGGCTTCGGTGTGTGTGTGTGTGTGTGTGTGTGTGTGTGCACGGTGCACACATGCATTGACACTGTTCAGCAAAGGACTGTGTGTTAAGAATAAAAACTGCAGAAAAGCCTGGTCAAAAATGAAAACTGAACAGCTGGAGATGTTCCAGCTTTTTGACTGCCCTCCTTCCAACAAAAAATGACAGGTTTTTATTTGTTGCAGAGATGGTTGTGAAAGCATCATGCTGTCAGCAAATATCAGGCTGATTCACCACCTTGCTGTCTTGATACTCCTAACACATAATGCATGTTGTTTCTGATTTGCCTTGTCCCTTTTAACTTAATTATATGATGGGGAAACTGCAATTTTGTCTTTTTAAATGGAGAACAAAACATGTCAAAAAGAAGCAGATGGCACAGCAAATGTTCTTTTTTCTAAATGTTTGAATTTAGATGTTCTCCGTTTTCTGGTGTCTATGTACTGTATGAATGTCTAAAAAGTAGCATACACATTAACACACATATATTGCTGGTTTTACACCAAAGTCAAATCAATCAACCTTTATTTATACAGGTAAATCCCATTGAGCCTCGAGGACTCATTTACAAGAGAGACCTGATTTCAACAAAGAAAGATGACAACAATGGACAACAGCAACAACAATGGACAACAGCAACAACAATAAGCAGTTATAAAAACTCATACTACAGTTTTTTTTTTTTTTTTAACAAATAGGATGGCTAAAAGGAAAACGGTAACAAAACAAAAAACAGCTAGATTCCAAGACAAATGTAGAAAACTAAAAACAGGAACATGTCTGCATTGGACCCTGCCAG